GGAGCAAATCCATCTGGCGGAGTCAGGTTACCAAACTCCCCCTTGGCCAGAGTTTTTGAAGAGTCCTACAGCTGCCCAGGCAGCAGCACGCTTGGCCTAACGATATCTGCTTTCTCCGTATCTCATAAGCCAAGCAGGCTCAGTAAGACTCTTATCTTCAGCCTAACAGCATTTTTGCCTTTTTCTGGCTGATTCTCCTGTTGTGCAAGATTTTTTTGGGATCAGAGCCAAATTTCAGTCTCATCGTGCACCATGTAGTACAGGGTTTCTTAACCATGGTCCCCAGGGCTCAGTGTCCCCCATGTTTTAGGTGTTTCCCTGCCTCCACACAGCTGACCTGAATGAAAAGGTAATTAACAGGCTTTTGCAGCATTTGAGGGCTGTCGAGGAGAAAATGCAGTGATTTGAATCAGGTGTGCTTGAGTAGAGACATCTAAAACATGAAGGACAGTGAGCCCTGAGGACCAGGGTCAAGAACACCTGGTTTAATGTATAGGGGGTAATGAGGGGCAATTCCTGACCCCCTCCCGAACAGGAATTTTAGGTGGGTAGAAAATCATACGTTTGAAATACAGCCAGCCCTTGTGAGGTGTTCGTGAGTGAATGCTGCTATTGAAACAGAGATACACAATCGCCTATGAGCCGATTTACCTGAACCTTGTGCACTGCACATGTGCAAACAAGGGAATTCTTCTTCTTCTACTGTCTACGTTTGGCTTCCAGATTGACAAGTCTGACTAGTGCCATCTCTTGGCTCTGAGTCTGACATGTGTTTTTTTTTTGGACGAACAGTGAGATTGAATCAGAGCAAAAGGCCCTACAGTGTGAGAACATACATGTGAACTTTTAAACCCTATGGTTTCATCGTACAGTTGGAGCTGAGTACAAAGATTGGAAATATTGTATAATGTATGCTCGCCCTTACTGCCACTGTTCACCACAACAGGCAACACAGACATTACGATCACAGCGGCAATTGGCTCCCCAATAGAGGTAGAGATCATGGTCCAGTCAGACTCCATGTCCCCAGCCTCACCCAGAATCTGGGAGAAGCTTTCCTGGAAGTTGGAGCTAAGAAACTACCTTTACGGGCTTGTATCCCTTTAGTAATGACCAAAAAAAACAAATTTAAGGTGAGATCGCCATAAGGTAGTGTAAAGCGGATTTTTCTGTACAAAACTAAAGGGATAAACACAAATCTGACGTCTTGCACTTGCGCATTGACTATGGGTATGCTGGTCTGATGGGGTATGCTGATCTGACAGAACACCTGGCAGTCAGTGCATGGTTGCTGGGGAAAGAAGGCTGCAGCTGGACGGTGTGCCCTAGAAACAGTCCTTCTAGGGCTAAATTAAAAGGGCTCTTTTAAAATCCACCTTAAAACTGATAAGGAGCATTCTACACTTCAGACTTTGTCTACGTTATTTTAATTGTCTACCATTTTAATTTAAAAAAGCTTGTCTCTGCTGCTTCCTTCACTAAAGCAGTGGTCAATTCATGAAACATCTCCTAATCTTTAGACTTAACAATACAATATCAATGCGTACTACACACGTAGGTCCACTTTGACTTTGGACTCCCAAGTTTTGCCATTTTTGACGCTTCTTTGTGAAACTTGCCCCCAAGCCGATCTTTTTGGTCCTTTAGATGGTTTATCTACCTCCCAGGCATGACTACTGCTTTCAAAAGAACTAAAGACTTCAGCATCAGGAGGAATTTTACAGTAGGCCCTTATATATAAACAGTCAGAACTAGTCATTACTATGCAGTTTTTGACCCCTCCTATATTGGCGGCGCACAGATGGACATCAGGTGTGATAGCATAGCGCAGATGGTCGTTGTCACGCAAGCTATCTCTAAAATGATTATACATGCAAAGACACCCTCTAGTGTCTTGGGCCCCAAGCTACTGGTTAGTTTCCTCATGCCTCGCTGTTTCTACTTTCACCCTGGATTAGAACCGCTCAAACAGCCATGGTGTGATGGTGGTGATTAATCAGAACTTTAGAGCAACTTGAACAAACCGGACTGGAGAAGAACCTCATTATCCTGATGCCTTTTTTTTTTTTTAACAAAAGTGTCGGTTCTTGGGACAAGACAACTGAAACCTGTTTTTGCTTTTTATGGTGAAACATTCTCAGTGGTTCTAATTTGCTGCTGATGTTCAGGTTACTGGAGGAAGCAGTTGGACCATGTGTGTGCTCACCTGAGAAGTTACACCCAGAACCATTCCTCCTTCAGGACTCTGCTGGCAGAACCACGTCTGGGCCAGGTAAGCTCTTCACCTTGAGTTGAGGGACGAACATCACCTGAGCAGGTGTCTTCCAGCTGTCTGTGTTCCTTTTCTTGTTCAGATGATCTCAGCTGTGATTCAGGAGGATCAGCAGGAAGTCATTCTGACCTTAAGCTTTTCCTGTGTTGCTCCAGAGCAACAGCAGGTGAGTTTCTGACAGGAAGAAACCTGAGGGTGGATGGACATTTAAATGAGCAGAACTGTTGTCGGGTCTCAGGTTGGACTTTATGGAAACATTGACGGACCAGTCCAGGGAGGGTCCGGGATACCGAGTCAGGCCCAGACTCTGAGCCACGTCACGGAGCAATCTACAGTCAGAACCAGTCTAGGTAAGAACCACAGGTTCTGACTCTACTATTCTTAGTTTCCTTCTGTATCACTTGGTGTTTGTGAGGAGGAGCTGAACCAAATTCTCAACAACAAATTTCTCTCCATACAGGAAGTCCTTTGCTGTCAGGTCTCAGAAGACCCAATAGAAACCTGAAACCAGGACCATCGGTAAGAACCCAGTCTGAACTGGAAGCTGCCATCTTAAATCCAAAGCCTGCTGTGATTGGTTGATTGGCTGCAGGTGACTGACTGTCAGCTGCTGAAGGAGCTGGGTCCAGATAGAGGCCGGATCGCAACCATCCAGAACCTTCTGGATCAGGTAGACCCCATGTCTAGTCAGGATCACACAGCATCTCCTGACCCAGTCTAACCAGGTCTTTGTTTATCCACCAGGGGGCGGACCCATCCTGCTGTGGGAGTGACAGCCGCCACGCCTTGGCGGTCGCCGTGGTGAACAGTCACTACGACGTGCTTCCTGTTTTGATTCAGCGAGGAGCCGACGTTGACCAACAGTCTGGACCGTAAGAAAAACTTAGATAACCTGATGGAGGTAATGTGGGCGGAGCCACACTGCGACACCCAGGTGTCGGTGTACAGATGTGGATCTACTAGATTATAGAACCTGATTTAAGAGGGCTGGAGTCCAGGTGACCACACCCCTTACCTGGCCCCGCCCCCACTGCATTGGTTCAGGTCATTTTATTGAACATGTTCTCCTCAGGATGAGGAACACTGCTCTGCATGAAGCTGCAGCTATGGGCTCTGAGGGGCTGCAGAGCGCCAAGCTCCTGCTCAGGTAACTCACCTGGACCTGAACACCTGCAGCTGAAGCTCCTCCCACCTCACGGTGTTGTCACTGTGTGTCCGCTTGTAGATGCAAGGCGAGCGTGAGAAAGAGGAATGCTGCTGGTCAGACAGCATACGACATGGCGGTGACCTCCGGCTGCGACGACATGATGTCCCTGCTGGCGGCTCAGACAGGACTGGATTTACTGGGAAGGTCCCATCAGAACCTGGACATCATCTGAGTGATATATGTGACCAAAACCAGTCAGCAGCTCTGAACCGTTTCTGACTGCAGCTCCAGGCCGTTCTGTTTCCATCCGACTTCCAAGTTCCTCTAAAACATGTCATTTTTTATCACTTATATTGAGATAAAGTGGGGTTTTCTTACACAGAACATTTATAAAACATTTTTTCGGTTTCTAAGGATTAAAATCTTCCATCGCCATCTTGTTTTCTTATAAAATTCTTAATCTATTTTCCATTTTTTTGTCCATTTGTCATTCCTTTAATCTGAACCTGTGTTCTCCACTATTACTGACCATTGTTCTGCAGTGGCTGCAGGTTTTCTTTCCAACCAAGCAATCGCACCAGACTCCAGTCATCTCATTAAGTGAGTCCAATCTGAACATGATGACTTGATGAAGTCTGGTGCGCTAGTGTTTGGTTGGAAAGAAAACCTGCAGCGACATGGCTCTTTCTGGAGCCAGTGGAACATCCCTGCTTTGGTGGAACTCGTTCTTTCCTCCAGTTTCTTGTTATCTCTATTAACAATGTTTTAACCAAATGATGATTATTCAGAGAATTTACACAAGTAGAGCACTTCAGATCTCACTGGAACATTGTATTCTAAGACATAACATATGACCTCACAGATGTTTCCATAAAACACCAGTATTTTTGGACATTTCAAGAAGATATATAACTGGTCCACATCGACTGCTCCACATCCTCTCCAACATTTCTAATGACTTTTTAATTGTTTGTTTCTAGTCTTACATTCTTCCAGGCAAAATCCCTTCATGCCCATTAGCTGGTAATTGACTGATGTACTCTCCACATGACCCGCCATCCGTCATCATCAATATATATGTTCTACCCTTTTTCCCTTTTCTGTTATACATGGATAGTTGTGTCTTTATTCATGTATCCAAAGGCCTCACACAGCACTGAGACCCTGTTCCCATAAGCCTTGGCTATAATGTCTTAATTCTTCTTCTTTACAGTAGAGATTGAGCGTGCTCACAGAAATGGAAGGTTCAGGGGTGAAAATGATAGACCCAGATCCATAGTGGTAAATCTGCTGCGCTTTAAAGACAAACAGCTGATTATGGCGCGAGCAAGAGCCCAACTGAAAAACTCCTCCATATACATTAATGAGGACTTTTCAGAGA